GAGCTGAGGGACAGCGCCCAGGCCCAGAGTTCAGGCCCACGACTGGACCCAAAAAAAAAAAAAACCAACAAAAAACAAAAAAAAGAATTCACGCAGTCTTTTGAAGAAAATCTATCATCTGCTCTTAGGATGGCATAAAAATTGCGATTTTTTTTTCTTTTAAAGGTTTGAAGTGAGATAACTAAAATACACCATTTCTTCCTTTCTATAATTTATCTTTAATTATAACTTTTTAACCCAAATAGTCCTGCTTTTGTCTCTTTAATTTTTATACTGTCACTGAAAAGCAAAAGACAATCTAAAATTGCCCTGTTTCCCATCCCAAGATCCTTCCCGCCTCCCTCAGCTGGCCGGCCTCACCCCACTCTCCAGCCACGCCTTACGCACCACGGCATTCTGGGGGTTTGCCTGCTCATCATGCATCTCCCGGATCTCCTGGTCGGTGGATGCGTGGACCTGACTCAGAACGCTGAACCACTGGCTGTGAAAAGAGAGGGCAACTGTCAAGGGTGCCAAGCCCTGCCCTGGCAAAGCAATGGTGCTGTCCACCATGTTCTAGTTCAGCAAGACAGCTCTGAGCCTGTGCTTTGTGACTGCATACTTCTTTCAGTACCTTGCATACCACACCAGGGAGCCAGGTCAAAGATGGAGCCAGAGGACCCGTAAGTACCACGTGTTTGGAAGTTCCTCCCTTCCTTCCCTACAGACCTTCGGATGTCAGATGACTTCCTTGACACACATGAGGCAATTATGAAATCTTCACTTCTATTCAAAATACTTATGTGAAAGCTCTTCACTGAGTATCATACTTTATACCCTAGAGAACATCCAGGTGCTCTTTCTTGTTTGGAAATAAATGTTTTTCTTTTTGTATTGTTACCATAAAGGTGATGTACCGAGGGTTACAGTTATGTAAGTCAGGTGAAGAGTATGTTTCTTTTTGGACAGTGTCACCCCGTCCCTCGCTCTCTCAGAAAATGAGCCCCAAGGCAGGAAAATCAATCCCAGGAAACTCTCAGCAAGGTCACTTTCTTGGGGGGAGGCAACTGGGGTTTGAGCTCAGGGCAGGCAGGTGCTCTACCACGCCAGCCCCAGCCCCAGCCCCAGCCCCAGCCCTCCAATGCTCATTTCTCTCTTTATTTCACAATGGAGTTTCCAATCACCTGACAAGAGTTCCACTTGAGAAAATAAAGCCATGGGAGAGGTAGACATCAAAAGCAACAGAGCTAGAAAATAGTTTGAACCAGAGAACTCTCCTATGTTCATTGGAAATGAATTTTCCTACTTCTAGTCTCATTCTAATCAGTGAGTAAAGGAAAAGACATGTTCATCTCAGAAAAACAGAGCAGAATCAAAGGCTTCGTATAACTAGAAACATAAGATACACGGCACAATAATGACCCAGGAACGCCTGGCCATTCATCCATCCATCCAATAATAATTAGGCAAAAGAATTATGAGAGGGAACAAATGTGAGAATGAAACAAAGGTAGCGTCTCCCCTCTGAAGCTTTTAAGTCATATACAGGCTCTTACTAAAGTAGGGTAGAGGAGCCAGGCTTTTGGCCTAGCTATTCAGAAAGGTGGAGATCTAAGCATAACCAGTTTGAAGCCAGACTGGGCAGAAAAGCTCCTGAGACTCTTATTTCCAGTTAACTACCCAAAAAGCCAGAAGTAGAGCTGTAGCTTAAGTGGGAGAGTGCTAGCCTAGAGCATAAAAAAGCTCAGGGACAGTGCCTAAGCCCACAGGGTCTAGCTCCAGGACAAAATAAATAATTAAGGCAGAGAAAAAAGGTCTTGCTATGTAACGGGATTTTTAAGTTAAAAGACAGTAATAACAATAGGTGCGGATGGCTCACCTCTACCTACTCAGGAGGCTGAGATCTGAGGATCATAGTTGAAGCCAGCCAGAAAGTGTGAGACTTTTATCTCCAATTAAACACAATAAAGCCAGAAGTGGAACTCTAGCTCAAGTGGCAGAGTGCTAGCTTTGTTTAGAAAAGATGAAGGACAATATCCAGGTACTGAGCTCAAGCCCCAGAACCAGCCTGCGCGCATGCGTGCACGCTCGCACGCGCACACACACGCACACACACTAGTACCATCCATAAATGAAGGTAAGCAATGCAATTTATTTACAGCAAAGAATGAAATCTATCTTTTGTGATTACTGAAAGAGAAAATGTCATCATCAAGGACTTGAAAATATCCAACAGACTCGGGAAATACTTTCGTATGAACTGGCCCACTGGAGAGCGAGCCTGAGGTCATTATTAAGCTCAAATATCTTCCCCACTCAAAAATTACTGAACACATAAGCTAACACATACACATAGGCAAGCACACACACAATTTGCTATGTTTTCAATCTCTACAGATAGGCTTCCATTTATAAACTTCAGGCTGAGAATGTGGCTTAGTGGTAAGAGTGCTTGCCTAGCATGCATGAGGCCCTGGGTTTGATTCCTTAGTATAAAACATAAAATTAATTAAAAAAAACCTGAAGCGAATCAATCTTTATACACATACACACAAACTTTTTCTGAATCAAGTATAACTTGGAATCTGAAGAGGAATTTTTAAAGAAATGACTTTTACTGGTCAGGGGAAGAGGTCCTTGGCTAAACTATTCCGAAGGCTAAATTTAGCAGGTTCATTATGGCACAAAACAGACAGGACCAGCTGCCAAATGCCAGGGCTGTAATTCAGCTGGAAAGTTGTGGGCATTTCCTGGCCGCTTCCAGCCCCAGACAGAACGAAGGGGCTGTCATTTCAGGCTTGCTTATTTTTCCAGTTTGTGTTATAATTTATGAGTCCAAGCAGGGTTTCAGTTTTTCCCATGGGGAGAATTACTTTCTGATGTCTTTACGCTCTGGGCTGCTACCATGGTGTTATATCAACTTCAAAACATTCAAAAGGCGAGGGGGTTAGTGAGAGGTCCTGAGAACTCTCCAGAAGGTTCTAATGACTTCTGAGCTGAGACCTGAAGAATACAGGTCACTCGTTGGATGTGACCTTCATAAAAAATCACACCCTAGTGATGCTCAGAACAGATAATAGTTACCTCTGCTAGATCCTGCACACCCACAGGGCCGCAGGAAGAGACGCGACAGACGCCCACCGCGCCCGGCTCTCCTGGTGATGGGGCTCGCAAAAGCAAGCCCCAGTTCGCCTTGACCTTATGCTCCTCATACGCAGCACCCCAACATGGAAACCCAGGGTCCAAAAAAGTCTGTGAATGTGCCAGAGCCAGCGAGGGACACCAGATGGAAACACAGGAAGCTGCTGGGCACTGGCAGCTCATAGGCCTATCATCCTAGCTACTCAGGAGGCTGAGATCTGAGGATCCAGGCTCAAAGTCAACCCCGGCCAGGGAAGTCTATGAGACTCTTATTTCCAGTTAATCACCAAAAAGTTCCAAGTGGAGCTGAAGTTCAAGCAGTAAGAGTGCTAGCTTTGAACAAAAAAGCTCAGCATAGCACCCTGGCACTGAGTTCAAGCAATCCCCAGGACCAGTGCTAAAAGTAAAGAAGTAAGCTGCATGCATCTGACCAGCAGAATGGAGCTTGTGGTCCGTTCTCAATGAGGCCATGCCTTCTCTGTGCCTTCTGGGTTCCCTCCCCAGCCAAGGGCAAAGACCACACCAACAACATCCACCCCACGGCACAGGGCATAAGCAATCAATGCGCTGACAAATGGTGAAACCGGCAGATCCTGTGAGAATCCCACTGATGGAAAGAGTCAATGTGGAATGCTAATGCGCGGCTCTCAACAGCCAGTGCTTAAAAAGCTCCCCCTCCTTACATCCTGGCACATACACCAGCTGTCACTTCTAAGGCTCAGAAACTTTCAGAAGCTGGGCTTTCAGCCTCACTTGTCCACATGGCTAGAGACAATGCAAAAGTAGAGTTGAATGCCAGTGGCTCATGCCTGTAATCCTAGCTCCTGAGATCTGAGGATTGTGGTTTGAAACCAGCCAAGGCAGAAGTCTGTGAGACCCTTATCTCCAACTAATCACACACACACACGCACGCACGTGCGCGAGCGCACACGCACGCACATGCAGAAGTGCGGCTATGGCGCAAGTGGTAGAGCACTAGCCTTGAGCATGAAAGAAAGCTCTGGTACAGTACAGTGCTGAGTTTAAGGCCCTCCCCCCACCCCCAAGCAAGATACATAGTAGGGTTCTGTCTATCCAGCAGTGGCATTTGAGGCTGCAAAGCCTGAGCCTGGGCAATACAAGACCCCATCTGCTTTGGAAGAATTCCTAGGGGACAGTGCATACATCTTTATGGCTTCCACTTGTTCAAACCGTGGAACAGAGAAAGCCAACCATGAAATGACTTCACACCCTTCTACAGGCAGCAAAGTGAGCCAAGCTCTGGGCAACACTTCTGGCCCGGTGCAGGCCAGATGTGGCTGAGGGGCGTGCACCACGCCCACCTTACCTGGCATCCTCGGGGGACTCAGCGATCAGGTGGAAGGTCCTGTCGGCCATAATGATATCAATCCCGTTCTCTTTGTTGGTGTTGTCGATGATCTCTCTGCAAAGAACAAAGCCACCAATGGCAGTGAGGAACATAGAACTGCTGATGCGCAAGGTAAGTGACATTTAGACAACTACTGTTGATCTGGACATGTGCTGAAGTTGTGCACAGCAGTTTCCACGCAACCAGGGGATATCTGAAACTGCAGGCAGGACCGAACATTATAGCATGACGTTTGAATTCCACAACTGGAGTCTGACGTCAAGGCCTTGCACTCACCAAATGGGTGCTCTATTACTTGAGCCATATACTTTAAGCCACTTTTTTTTTTTTTTTGGTCAGTCACGGGGCTTGAACTCTGGGCCTGGGCGCGCTGTCCCTCAGCTCAAGGCTAGCCTCTACCACTTGAGCCACAGTGCCGCTTCCGGCTTTTTCTGCTTATGTGGTGTTGAGGAATGGAACCCAGGGCCTCATTCTACCCAAGGCAAGCCTTCTACCACTGAGCCGCCTTCCCAGCCAATCCATTTCTTGTGTTAGTAGTATTTTGGATACTCTCCTGTTTTGGCTTAGTGCCAGCCTCAGACCACTTAGCTGGAGTTACAGATGTAGGTCTTCATGCTTGGTTTGTTTGAAAACATGGGGTCTTGCCAACTTTTTGCCCAGGTTGGGCTTGATCTCCATCTTTCGGGTAGCTAGAATTACAGGCACAAACTGCCAGGCCCAGCAGCCTGTTTTGTTTTTTCCTTTCTTCTGTTTTTTTTTTTTTTTTTTTTTTAACTAGCTGGGCTAACCATCCTTCCATCATGCTTGACATGAGAGATGTTTCAGATTTTTGAGTAAGTTCATATTTATAATGACATGTCTTTGGGATGGAACCTAAGTCTAAACATTGGAACTAATTTGTGTCATATATCCATAGTCTTAAGTGTTTCTATTTTGTTGATATTTGCAGTTGAAGCCAGGCCTTATACATGCTTAGTACGCACTTGACCCCTGAGCCATGTTCCCAGCCTTTGGAAGAAAACTATACAGTGGTTTTTGTGTGTCTACATCTTGACGGGGACCCACTGTATGAAGTTAGGGATGGGATTTTCCACTGCAGTGTCATTAGCTTTCAAAGAGTTTGGAGTGTTTCAGGCTAAAGATGCCGAGTTGGTACACATATATCTATGACAACACTTAAAAGTAGGCAGAGTAAAAGATTATCAACCATCATTGATAAAAAAGAAAAGATATACTAGAATAAATGTTACAGTCTTGCCCTCTCTCAAAATAATAAATTTATATTTTCAGATCAGGATATGAACTAGTGGAACAGGGTGACTAATGCACCTTTAGAAGCCAAGCCTCCTTTTCTTTCCATATTGATTCCTAAGACCGCTCAGCTGGCCAGACTGGAGCTGGCTATTCATGTATTCAGGGAGGGAGGCATTGCAATCTTTTGGACTCCCCCAGAGAGGGCGCTCTTCTCACGCTGCCCCAATCCAATGCCTCCACTGTTTAGGGAATCCTGCCTGCTCCTTCTTAGAACGGAAGGAAACCAAGTGACCAAGTGACATAGTGTAGTGTGAGCTCATCTTGCTTTCACTGTGTCCCCAAAGCTTATGGGTTGGAAACTTAATGCTCAATCCATAAGAGTACCAAGAAGTGGGGTGGGGTTGGGGACGCTGGAGTGGGCTAAGAGGGCTGTACACCTTTATCAACAGATCAATGCTCATTATAAAAGGACTTAAAGGGAGCATGCAAGTTCCATTTTTCTTGCCCTGTGGTCATCCATGAGGAAACAAAAAGGTCCTGGGCAGACAGGTCACCTTTTGCACCAGCAGGCAAAAACATTTCTGTTCAGTGTAAATGACCGCCACAGTGTGACAAGGTAACTTAGACAACAGCTTTCCATCATGGATGAAGGCCTTGGCTGATCAGAGACACGTCTAACACAGGGCCCCATTTCCAGGGACTATGAGGGGAGGGAAGGGCAGGATTTGATGTTCCTGGATCTCATCTTATCCCAACACTCTCCGACCCTCCCCAGAGATGGGGTAAAAAAAAAAATCAGGGCAAAACATAAGCAGAAGTGAGGACCAGAGCAGGGGAAAAAAATAACATGGTGAAATCCTAGCTAGGAATGTGACAGAAATGTCTCTCTCTCTTAATGTAATTTTGACGAAGCCCTTGGAGAATAGGGTTTTTACTGAGAACAATAAAGTTGCAAAAGGGACAAACTCTTCCCCTCTCAGTATCTGTGGGTTCCAGGACTCACCTAAGATACCTGCAGATGTGGCATGGTATTTGTACTCAACCTATGCACAGTCTCCCATAGATCTTAAACCATCACTAGATGACTAAAGATACTCAAATTATATAAGCAGTATATAAATTAATCAGTATATTGCTTAGAAAATAAGGGGGAAAATTATGTTTAGGACAGATTATTTATTTTATCCAGTTAGTTTTTAATTTAGTTTTTGGTGGCACTGGGGTTTGAACTGAGGGTTTCCTGCTTGTTTTTGGCCATGACTCTGGCTGGTCCTTTTCGCTCTGGTTACTTTTCAGATAGGGTCTCACTTTTTGCCTAGACCATCATGGACAGTGATTCTCTGATTTCTATTTTTGGCCATGGGGATTTCATGGTTTCTTCAGCTGGCCTGAAAAAGAGATCCTCCCAATCTCAGCCTCCCGAGTAGCCAGGACTACAGACATGTGCCACTATACTTAGCAATTTTTCTGAATATTTTCTGACCTACACAAACCATGGAATGAAGAGCAAATGTACATCATTCTACTCTGGTGACATCTCTGTCTCTCTCTGCCCTCTCTGTGAGTTGAACAGGAGGACCGTCACAGCAAGCAGGGTAGAAGGCAGACACCAAGAGATGACAGCTGTACTAGGCTGTGACCATTGGTAGGATTCAGACCCAAATTCCTCCAAACCCACTCATGCTCCTAATGAACCCCAAGGGACAGCCTAGAGAGAAGTCCTCGAGTCTCCTGCCTGCACTTATCCTGAAAATCAAATACAGAAAGACATTCCTTTCCTCAGTCAACTTTCTACCAGCCCCTGAATAACTTCCCGAGCTGCTGCTGCTGGCTGTTGGGAACATTTTCAGGCTCCCTGACTTTAGGGATTAATTGGATCTCTTTAGGCTCATTCTACCACTTCCCCAAATACTTGTGTTGGCTAGTGTTGAGAGAAGGGTGGGTTCAGATTATCCCCAAACAAATTTTTATGCTTAGTGCCTAGTTACCCAAGAAAAGCAGCCACAAGTTTTTGAAAACAACCTTTTTGTTTCTTGTTTTTTTGTTGGTCGTGGGGCTTGAACTCTAGGCCTGGGCGCTGCCCCTCAGCTTTTCAGCTCAAGGCTAGTGCTCTGCCACTTGAGCCATAGTGCCACTTCTGGCTTTTTCTGTGTATGTGGTGCTGAGGAATCGAACCCAGGGCCTCATGCATGCAAGGCAAGCGCTCTACCACTGAGCCACCTTCCCTGCAAACATTAACTTCTAACAAAAAAAATTGTTAAGCCCTTGATAGTCTCATAAGAATTGGCAGAAAAAGTGATTGTGTAGAATTTACATGCAAGTGCACTCCCAATGCACCCAAAAACACATCTGTCAGTCTGCCCCTGACTCAGCAGATACATCTGTGACTAACAGATTGAGGAAGAATTGAAAATGAAGTTGACTCATTAGTAGACTTTCTCCTGTAGATCTACCATGTCTTTTCTAATGGGCTAGTTCTAAGTCCCAGAACCCATCTTCTAAATGGAAGCCATTCAGCTGAGCACAACTGTGAATAACAAAGGCTCCACAAAAAGAAGTCTCGCTTCCAGTGTCCAGATAATTCAGTCTGCTGAACTGAACTACCCACTCACTGAGCACTTGCTCTGCACAGTCATGCAAGTGCTCAGTGCAGCTCTGTCGCCACCAGCCCCCCACTACCCAGAACACCCCAGCCGCAGCCAGCCGTGTGTGCAGCTGTCAGCAACCTACTTGGCCGTCCGGACTTCTAGAGTACCCTTGAGCTTCTCCTCACTGTCGTTTTCAAAGTACATCAGCTTGGACTGGCGGAGGACGAACCAGCGCTTCTTCCAGTTTCTCCTGGACAGGGTGGAGGAGCCTCCTCCTTTCTTATGGAGCCAGCCTTGCTTGAGGGCCTCCTGCTTGGAGCGGAACCACAGGAAGGTCTCGTCCTTGAGGACACACCAGCGGCGCTTCCAGGAGTTCATTAAGCCACCTGTTCCCCAAGACAGGGCAGAGAAAGGTGGAAGGAAACAGTCCGTCAAACACATCTACAGAGGTGAAAGGGACAGCCAGTCCTTAACTGCCCCAGCTGACATGCACTGGGAGACCCTTGGGTGAGAGGGTTAGTTACACATCCTTGTTGCTCTAGTCCTTACACATAATAATTCACTCTTACTCAGTCAACTGAGATTTCTTGTTTTTATTTATTTATTTATTTTGCGGTGTGTGTGTGTGTCAGTCCTGAGGCTTCAACTCAGCACCTGGGCGCTGTCCCTGAGCTTTTGCTCAAAACTAGTGTCTACCACTTGACCATACTTTTTTTCAGTAATTTATTGGAGATAAAAGAGTCTCACAGACTTTTCTGCCCAGCTGGTTTCTAACTGTATTTCTCACATCTCAGCCTCTGTGTAGCTGGGATTACAGGCATGAGCCACCAAGGCCTGGTTAGAAATCTTCTGTGTGTGTGTGGTGGTACTAGGGCTTGAACGCAGGACCTGGGCACAGTTCCATAAGCTTTTTCCACTCAAGATTCTACCGCTTGAGCTACCACACACACACATATGGCAGCACTGAGGCCTGAAGCTGGGGCCCTATACTTCCTAAAACAGGCGCTGTATTACTTGAACCATGTGCCCAGTCCTTTTGGCTTTCATTTTCTTTGAATACTGTACCAGACTGGGCCAGGATCTACCTGTTTGTGATTCCCACGTCTCTAGGATGACGGGTGTATGCCACCACCCCCCGGTTTTTGTTCGACGATACCAGGTCTTCCGAGCCTGGCTAAATCTTCCACCTACCAAGTAGCTAGGATTACACGCTTGAGCCACCAGGCCCAGCTGGGAAAAGAAATTTGACAGAAAATAAATGTTGAGTTTTCTTCACTGATTGTGACAATAATTACAGATCTGAGCCTCATGGAGCAAACAAATCATGGAAAGAAAGTCCACCTATTTTGCTGAACTTACGCAGACATTTTCCTCCTCCTCTGAAAGCACTCCAGTTCGCCTGGCAGGGATACCTCTGGCAATCAAGCCAAGTGTCAGAGCTATTTCTTAACCTACAGCAAACTGGCCAAGCACTGTCAAAACGGAGTATTATTGTTCTTGATTTGTGACTTTAATCTGAGTTTCTCAAAACAAGCCCGGAAGGCAACAGTAGCGCACAGACTTTCCATTCTTTTATCATCCTACACTGAACACCAGTGTCCAGGAGCCATTCCTGCTGTGTTCCCGGCTGTGGGTGGATGTGTAGTTCCTCTCCTCTACCTCCCAATTCCTCACCCCCAAGTCCTCGTGCTCCTCTGATACTTTTAACTAGGGAATTTGATCGATGCTATTCACTTCCTACTTTATGCCTTTAGCAAGCTATCTAGCCAGTAAGAACTCGTCCTTGTGCATAACTGCAAACTGGTCTCTTCTACTGTTTTCTCTGAAAGCTGAGGATCTTATTGTATTTGTGATCTCATTTAAGAGTAAGTGATGCTACATTTTCTCAATAACCTTTTTTTGGTTGGTAGTGGGGCCTGAACTCAAGGCCTGGGCACTGTCCCCAAGCTTTTTTTGCTCAAGGCTAGGGTTCTACCACTTGAGACACACCTCTGCTTCTAGGTTTACGTATTGGTGATTGAGATAGTCTCACAAGACTTTCTTGCCTGGGCGGACCCTCAGCTGCCTAGCTCACGTCTCAGCCTCCTGAGTGGCTATGGCTGATGACGGGCGGAGGCTCAGGACCCTTGGCTTTGCACCCTGTTCTCTTCCCCCCATTCTTCTGCCATCCAATGGTTAGCCTTCTCTAGCCATTTCCTTCACGTTTTCCCTACAGCCTTCTTTTTGCATTTGTTCTTCCTTTCTCCTTCTGATCAAAAAGAAATGAGTAAATGACTCTTCCCTTTCTCGTGCGTTTTGTATTTGCATGCTATTTTGGCATTGGCTTTTTTGGTCATTATTTGCTTGTTTTGCTTACGCTCTTACCTGGTCTAGGGCCTTGTGAAAAACAGGACGGTCCCCCACCCTTTTGTTACCTACACTGGTAACAATAGGGCCCCTCACTGTCCCACCCTGGGTGCGGAGCCCAGGTCAGAATGTGAATCAGGGGAAAGCTCCAGTACCAGGTCCAAGTGAAAACATACTCCTGGATGGAGGCGTGGCTCAGCAGAAGCGCACCTGCCTAGTAAGCAAGAAACCCTGAATCTAAACCCAATATAGCCAAGAGGGAGAGTTAAACACTCCCTATTTATATTATTTAAAATTTAAGAAAACCCCTCAAATATTAAGGTTCAACACAGCACATTTTATATTAATAGCAACTGCAATAGATAGGTCAACTTGTCATCATAAAGCAGGTATAGGAAGCAAGTTCAATCAACCCAGGACCTACAGACTTCGACTTTTCCTCTTTGATTCGCTAATGCCCGATTCTCTGTGTGTACACATGTGTGTACACGTGTTTGTGTGTATGTGTATGTGTGTGTCAGAGAGAGTAAGAAAGTATATGAGCAGGAGGAAGAGACCGACAATGGTCATTTGCCAATCCGGGGGAGTGAAGTCCACAGTCCCGTGGTAGAGCCACACTGCCCTCGTGACATTAGCATGGCACCAACACTCACACCCAGCTGTCACAATACTGGATGCGGGGGAGGCTGAGTAACTTTCCCAGGCCCTGGAACAGCAGCTCAGGGAAAGCAGATGCTGGTTTTGCAAGTGTGGTGGCCAGGTTTGGGGGGGGGGGGCGCAAGTCCTACCTTTCATGTACAGGAAGCTGTGGAAGTAAGGCAGGGTGACACAGCTGTACACAGAGTCTCGCCGGTAACACAGCTCGTCGTCCGTGTCAAACCTGGAGTCCAAGTCCTCTTCGCTGTCTTCAAACTGCACAAGGAGAAGGATGGAGGGGCAGACAGACATGCTGGTCAGGCTAAGGAGATGTGCAGTTCATATTGGCAGCAAAAACAGGCAGCCATACCCTCATGCATGCGCTCCAATAAACACGGAAATGAAAGGAACCCTGAATTACCAGATACCAAGGGTTAGGGTCAAACGGTCACTTGGCCAGATAGCTAAAACACAAGATGTGCTTTAAATCCAAAGGTTCTAAAAATAACACTGCTGTTTAAAGGTATAATTTTGGGCCAAAACCACACCATAGTTAATCTCCTTTAGGTATAATTTTGAACCAAAACCACGCCACAGTTAATCTCCTTTAAATTGCTATGCTAAAAATATTACCACGTCTTAGAAAGGAAAGACAGTGTTTAGTAGCGTGACCAAAGGGAAAAAGCAAACTTTTAAAGGACTGCAGAAACTGGAAATGTATTTAATAACCCCTAGGGAGTCTTTCCTAAAACCAGAGCAGGAAATCAGCCTGCTGTGGGACAGGGGCTGCCAGGTGTAAACCCAGTGCTGGGGTTTTGCAGCGGGGTAAAGCTCAGGCTCAGGCCTGGGACTTGTGCCCCACTTCCAAGAGGCATCTCCCAATTCCGCTGTCCAGGTAAGTGAAATGGGGTGCAAGATTATGTTTAAACTCCATTCTGAAATCTTAGGCTCCAGGGCTTTGGGTGGGGGGGTGCTGGGAGGGGCGGTGACTGAGGTTTAACTCAAGGCCTTGTTCGTGTAGGAGTCTCACCGCTTGATCCACCCCCCCCCCAGCCATTTTCATTTGGCTGTTTTTTCGATTTTTGCTATTTTTAAAATTTTACTTTGTGGCCGATCCTGGGGCTTGACACTCTAGGCCTCTGGGGCACTGTTGCAAGGCTCCTTTCGCTCAGGGCTTAGTGCTCCACTACTTGAGCCACAGCGCCACTTCAGGCTTTTTTCGATGACTAATCGGAGTGGAAGGTCTCTCGGGAGTTTCCTGCTTGGGCTGGCTTCGAACCTTCATCCTCCCATCTCAGCTTCCTGAGGGGCTAGGATTACAGGCGTGAGCCCCCAGCGTGCCCGGCTAAGTTGTTTTTTTTTTTTGGGGTCCGGACGTGGGGCCTGAACTCTGGGCCTGGGCGCTGTCCCTCAGCTCTTCAGCTCAAGGCTAACACTCTACCACTTGAGCCACAGTGCCACTCCGGCTTTTTTCTTTTTGCTTATGTGGTGCTGAGGAATCGAACCCAGGGCCTCAGGCATGCAAGACAAGCGCTCTACCACTGAGCCACCTTCCCAGCCCCTAGGTTGGTTTTTGAATAAGGTTTTGCATTTATTTATGCCAGGACCGGTATGGACTGCAATCCTCCTATTTACACCGGCCCGCATGAGCGCACTCAGCTTTCTACTATTTGAAGTGAGGGTCTCCAGACCCTTTGCCCCCCCCCCCAGGCTAGCCCTCTAATCGTGATCTTCCGGGACGCCCCTCTCCCGGGCACTAAGAATGACAGGCCTGGGGCACTCGGCCCAGCCCCGGCTGGCACTCACCGAGGACTGCGCCCCTTCGGAGCTGAACCGGTAGGCCCCGGAGCTGTTGTAGGTGCCCATGGAGCCCCGGTAGTCCGGGGACCACTGGCTGCCGTAGGAGTGGGAGCAGGTGACGCTGCTGGCGGAGGTGGCGGCCCCGTCCTCGTAGTCGTCGTCTTCGTCGTCGGGGGAGGGCTCGTCCCCGTCGCCGGGGCTCTGGGGCA